GAAATCCGCATCCGATTCCGAACAGAGGGACTCAGCTGAGTCTAGAATCTAGATCTAGAATAGGTCTAAAAAAATAAATAATTCACGCACCTGATGAAATGCTTATTTTTACCATATAAATATGGCCGGCACTATTTCTCCGAACGTTCGGGAAAATAAAGCTGGGCACTATTTCTCCGAACGTTCGGGAAAATAAAGCTAGGCACTATTTCTCCGAACACTCTAAAATCACATCCTTTCCGCAAATTTCGGATATTATATAGATCTATAATTATAGTATAGGCCTACCAAAGATTGTTCGTATACAATATGGTTCAATCGGTCCAAAAAATGTCCGCAGTAAAACTTTAATATTTATAAAGAAACGCTACAGTTCCAAACAGTTTTTCACTACAGATATGACGTGTTGCCTATGAAGGGTGCTGCTCTTAAGTTAAACTTAATGTGTTGTGTTCACTCGTGTGCTGTCTAGTCTAGATCTACGGAGGGTTATTGATAACGACACATAGAACTAGCATAGATATCTGCGTTTGTTGCGGCTGCGACCAATCAATCGTGGCTCGATTTTTTGGCATTTTTTGGTCCCCAAATCGGAGGATGAAAGTCAAATTTTTAAAAAAGAAAGAAACCGAACCTCTTTACTTTTGAAAGAAAGTTCACCTAGCTTCACTTCGTCTCTGTTGATTTGTTGAATACGTTACAGTTACTTTTATTTTTCCCTCTTTGTGGTGTTTTATTTTGTTAGTGTGTATTTTTTTCTTCCTTGTTATTGTTCTGATGTGTTGTTTTTCTATCAATTTTTTTTAAAATGGGGAAAAAGGGGGGGGGGGGGGTTATATAGTGTAACGTCATTTAATTTGATGTTCCTACCTTCATTAGATTCTAAATATATATATACACGTGTATAAATATATAGATTTAAATGTGTTATGTTAGAGCATACGTTCCACCAAAACCGATCACATGTACTGACACTGGCAGGCCCCTTAAATGTGTGTGATTCCATAATTTACTTGTAATATCCTGTGCTTTGTTTTAAAATTACGCACATTAAGTGTTAAAACAGCCAATCTTCTTCGGACAGGTGGACTCACGCCCTTATTTGTTAATTTTTGTGGTTGTTTATGGGCTGTTCTAATTTTGATTTCATTCTGTTGTGAAACCTTTCTTTTTCACGTTTTTACACTCATCTAAAAATCTCTAGACTAGCCAGACTAGCTCTTGAAAATTGATATAGATATATATAGACCTAAAAATTTGCTCGTGTGTGTGTGTGTGTGTGTATGCATGTGCGTGTGTGAGTGTGTCTGTGTGTGGTTGTAAAGTGTGTAAGTGGAGAGTGAGGAGCGTGCGCGTGTTTGTTTTTCGGGCTTTATTCAGTAACAGTTCAAAGTATGCAAAAATAGAAACACAGGATCTATTCACTCCAGGGCTCATGAGTCGTTCCTCTCTTTCAGTTTCACTCATTGATTTAATTCCCGTGTTCTCTCCCGCGGCTCATCCCCGTCCGCATGACTTTCACACCCCACCCCCTCCATCCGCCTCCAGGCACACACAAAGAAAATCTTACACATTCCCTTGCTCCCTGCGAACCATGGACAATAATATAGGCAAAACACTGCCTTAACCGCATTCCTTTCGTTCGTGAGCTGTGGACCAGGCCAGGGGGGTCGGTGTCGTCGTCTTGTTGCTGTCGCCTGTGGATACACTCGTACATTCTTCCTTTCACCTGTTCTTTCACTCATACTGTCTCTCCATTCACAGCTCAGCTCGTCATACGTTCAAAAGTTGCCCACTGATCATGTTTAGTTAATGTGTGTATAAGTTTGTGTGTGTACATGTGCATGATGGTGGTGGGTGTGTGGTAGGTGTTACTGAAGGTTGTCTATAGGCGGGCTTGCCATGCGGTGTTCCTTCACAATCCCAGACCAGAGGCAGAATCATTGAGGCCCCTGCCCGCTCCTGCCCAGCCCCCGCAAACTTGACAAGCTCAAAGTTTATATGAAAAGATATGGTCTAATATCCGCCTATTGATATCATTTTTTCATGTTTATGTACATTTCACTACATTATTTTTGCTTACTTCCCTTTGTGATTGAATTGTTTACCTTGACTGGGAAAATGAAAGACATTGTGAGGGAATGGAGGGCGGGGGCGGAGTGTGGGGTGGATGTGTGTGTGTGTGTGTGTGTGTGTGTGTGTGTGTGTGTGTGGGGAGGGGGGGAATTGGAGGGCGGCATCTAGCAACCACAGAGCTCACGATCAGCTTACTGTCCTCTGCACATATTCACGCTTAACGAACTATGACAGGTCGGCGGAGAGATACCGGAGTGTCCTCTCCTTTCTCTCAGTCCGGTCCCCACTATGTAAGGGGATGAGGGAAGAGGGGGAGAGAGAGAGAGAGAGAGAGAGAGAGAGAGGCACGGAAGAGACAGACAGACAGACCGTTGGACTACCTGACGACATTCCCTCTCTATCCACCTTTGACCATCAATAATTTATATATAGTGACACCAGCCATCCATGTCCAGGAGCTGTTTTAGCCTTGTTATCTATCTTTGGTCACCCTCTCTCACACACCTTCCAATCCTCCACTTGAGGCTCCCTGTTGGTCCGGCTCATCCCCCACAGTGCCAGGTTCGCCGGTAAGTCCCCTCTCCGTTTTAGACACTTTCCCTCTCTCCTCTCTCCAGTCACACCTTAGAATCCTCCAATTGAGGCCCCTGCCCGCTCCGTAAACCCCCCCCCCCAAGGATCTGTTATGTGATTATTACAACAGGCCCCCGCCATCCGTCCCCCGACCACCTCCTACTTATGTACACAGCTATCACCACTGTGCTATGGGTAACATAGTTTTCTGTTCATCATGTCTTATCACCAGATATCAATTAGAACTGACGATCGATGGCCGTGTATGCTTGGCCATTTGTTAGTACTTGACAAGCTCAAAGTTTATATGAAAAGATATGGTCTAATATCCGCCTATTGATATCATTTTTTCATGTTTATGTACATTTCACTACATTATTTTTGCTTACTTCCCTTTGTGATTGAATTGTTTTCCTTGACTGGGAAAATAAAAGACATTGTGAGGGAATGGAGGGCGGGGGCGGAGTGTGGGGTGGATGTGTGTGTGTGTGTGTGTGTGTGTGTGTGTGTGTGTGTGTGTGTGTGTGTGTGTGTGTGTGTGTGTTTGTGTTTGGGGAGGGGGGGAATTGGAGGTTTGGAGGGCAGAATCTAGCAACCACAGAGCTCACGATCAGCTTACTGTCCTCTGCACATATTCACGCTTAACGAACTATGACAGGTCGGCGGAGAGATACCGGAGTGTCCTCTCCTTTCTCTCAGTCCGGTCCCCACTATGTAAGGGGATGAGGGAAGAGGGGGAGAGAGAGAGAGAGAGAGAGAGAGAGAGAGAGAGAGAGAGAGAGAGAGAGAGAGAGAGAGAGAGAGAGAGAGGGGGGGACACGGAAGAGACAGACAGACAGACCGTTGGACTACCTGACGACATTCCCTCTCTATCCACCTTTGACCATCAATAATTTGTATATATAGTGACACCAGCCATCCATGTCCAGGAGCTTTTTTAGCCTTGTTATCTATCTTTGGTCACCCTCTCTCACACACCTTCCAGTCCTCCACTTGAGGCTCCCTGTTGGTCCGGCTCATCCCCCACAGTGCCAGGTTCGCCGGTAAGTCCGCTCTCCGTTTTAGACACTTTCCCTCTCTCCTCTCTCCAGTCACACCTTAGAACCCTCCAATTGAGGCCCCTGCCCAGCCCCCGGAAAACCCGCCCCACCCCAGGG